TATATATACATCAACTTGTGGTTAGAGCTCGACTACTGGCCTACTGTAGCTCAGTTGGTTAGAGCGCTGCACCGGAATCCGCAGGGCCGCAAGTTCGATTCCTGCCAGGAGTTTTGGGGAAAACTAAGGAATGTTCGGAGCTTTCTGCAAGGAATTCGCAAATTTGGTACAAAACCAGTGCTCTCACTTTTAAGGAATTATCCTTAAAAATAGGAATTTTGAAGAGTTTTAAGGATTTTTTTAAGGAATTTAGGTTTTTGAGGATTTTTTTAAGGAATTTCCAAAACATTTTATCCTGGACTAAAAACGTTTTGACGGAGAATAACCACGCCACGCAAATGAGATTTAAACTTGAAAGTAGCAACATTATATGCACATAATTACACATATTCGTATGTTCTCTATGTCGTAAATGTACATATGGCTGTCTTCCATTAAAATTCTCAAAAGTTAAATGTCAGTGTATGCTGTTTCTTCTGAAATCTACTGATTTTCTAAGTTCTCAGTGCCCTAGCGACCGGGGGAGGGGGGAGGGAGGGTGCAACACCCCTAATATTGCTCATGAACAATTTCAGATAGATATCTGATAGATATTTGATTTTGATTTTCAGATAGATATTTGATTTTCAGGTAAATTCAGGTCATTCTCAGGGCATAAAAAAGTGAACTCTCTAATCTGAATTGGAGTTAACAATCCGGCAAACAAACTAAAGCCTTTCTGACGATCTTGAGACTCCAAATTTCCAAAATGTTCTCAATTTCCCATTATAAACTGAAAGTAGCAATACTTATCTTCATTTTTAGGGAATACTAAAATATTGGGTAGGAAATACTCTAAAAATGCCATTTCCGACGGTCTGGAAACTTCAAATTTTCAAAAAATACGGTTTTAAAGAACGTTCAGTTCGAAAAATTCAGATAAATCAGGTGAAAAAACACTATTTGCAACTCTGTGATCAGGCCTTGTAGTAATTTTACCAATTTAAGGAATTTTAAGGAAATCTGAGGAATTTTCGAGCTTTTTCTAAGGAATTCGAAAATTTTATTGTGAGAGCACTGGAAAGTTTCTTCGAAATGTGAACAAATTTTGAAATAAATTTAAAATTTCAGGTTTAAAACATGGCAAATGAATAACTAAAGATGGATTTTTAAAAACTAAAAGGAAATGCACGCACTTTTTCAAACGGTGAAGCGAGAATTATTGATTTTGACACGAAAGAACCAAGCAAGGCAAGCATAAAAGTTGAACTTTATTAGTAAAACTGGGATCCATATAAAAGGCCAAGTTACCAAGTATTTGTATTTCAATTTTTCCTTGGACTTCCTACCCAATTGGAGATGAAAAGGCGGTATTTCTAACGCCAATCGTGCATCCTAGGTAATGATATATTTAATATTTTCTTTGATATTAAAGTGTGTAAATTAACTTTTATAGCTCTTGACTCTTTGAGTGGCAGTACTCTCCCCTTGACGAGTAAAATCATTTGACGTCAGACAGAGTAAAATAGTAAAGTAGGGCGCATCAAGGTGCAATGCAGCTTGACACATTGAGTTCCGGCAGTATCCCCTCGGGCCTTGACAAGGTGGAATAGCTAGTCAGCTTTGGCATGAGTCTGGAATGCTGGGCATGCCACCTGGTACCGCCCACCGTGGGAAACCCCTGTACATGTGAACTTGACCGAACTAATGTCATAAAATTTTCAGCCAGAGTTTTGTGAAATCAACTGTAGCTAGTGGGCACTTGGAGACTGCATACCTTTCCCAGTGAATTAAATTATGTATCATGCATAAATTCCAGGTGATCTCGTGTTCGTATTTTAGCCAATCAGCGCTCAGAAAGGGTTGTCCGAATAGAAATCCATTTTGATGTATTCAGTCAATTATATCTTTCGTTATTCTTTATCAAACTAGTTGAAATTTTGTAATTATGTTTGGTTATGAGAACTATATAGCTCTGACAAAAATATGGAATCGAAATAAAGTATATTACAGGAGATATTCAGTTGTTTTAATCATAAAATGGATTTCTATTTGACAACTAGTGCCACTACTTTTCCGCGTATCAAGATCATCTGGTTATACAATGGGCAGTTTACTCTGGCCGACAAAACAAGACAAACCTTTCTTATCCAATTTTCATCCAAATTGAACTAAAATTCAATCAATTTGTAATTGGGCAATTTTGATTAGTCGCACAAATTTTTGTATTTAATTAATATGTTTGATGGTTTTTATTGAGTTATCATACTAACAGACAAGCACACACAGACACACATATATAACTTGGCTGAGATATAGTAATACGCTGATGAAAACAACGTGGAAGAGGTTATAATCCGTGTTGGCAAATGTCTGGCCGCACCAGCAGCACCGCTGCCAGAAAATTTTTAACAAAATATCTTCACAGGAGATCTTACATCTTGCTGAAAATATTTGTCATCTTATATACTGCAATGCCATATAATTCACTTCAGGGCATTTTTTAAGAATTCGTCAGTGGGGGAGGGGGGGGGCATCTACAAAAAGGGACCATACTATACCGAGTGTGGAGCAATGATAGATGGTTTGTTGGTAACAAAAGGTTTGGTGTGGTATCGCATTTAATAGTAGGGGGGGGGGGAGAGCAGGGCCGTAGGAAGCTCTTTTCGTTTGGGGCGGGGCTGAAAGCGAGGGCTGAAGGCCCGAGGAAATTTTTAAATTTAGAGTCTCTGAAATGCCATTTCCTGGACTTTGGGGAAGATTTGCCAGATTTCTGATTGTCAGAAAACAGCATTTTTAGTATGTGGAAATTTAGAATTCAGTAGTACTAAATGGGCGAAGGCGTATTTAATTAACGATATATTGGATAAGTTGCAGGAAAGTATGGGTAATATCTTCATTCTTTGCAGTTTGTCATGGATTAAATGATAAAGGTCTGCATGATTTTGAAAAATGAATGATTATTAGCAAATTATTGGGGGCTGCAGCTCCCCAGCCCCCCTCCCGCCCCCTGGAGAGGGTCTGAAGTTTTCTCTCCCAGAAAATTTTTGTATTTTTCTACCCCTATGACTGCAATTCCCTGCATTTTCTGAAACAGATTTTTGGATATACAGCATTACATTATGCTGTAGATAGACTGAACCTTCAGTTAAGTACTTGCTGACTTGCATAGTATGTTTATGTAGATACCACAACTTGGCCGTCACTTAGGGAGCCAGCTTGATAAACTTAGAGTTCCCGACTCCCACGAAGCGCCACCATGGTTGGCACAGAGCGGAAAAATTTTGAAAATTGTGCGTCTCTAAATCGTCGGAAATGGCATTTTCAAAGTCTTCTATACGTCTTTTGTTAGGCCCTTTCATTAATTCGTTCATTATGATTTTTGAGTCTATGATATCCGCGATGGATTATTACGAGAAATGTTATCAAAATATCGATTACAGATATTTGATTATATGTATATATGATTTCAAATACTTCTAGTTTCGAAATCAAATTGTTTTTTTTTTGTGGGGGGCTAATATTATCCCCTCCCCCCTTATAAAACACTTGGTTGAGGGCCTGTTGCCCCCCTGCGGTCACTAACTTGTCCAACAACTCAAATCTATAGGGTCTGGGAAATGCAATCCACTGCCTGGGAAATGTTTAAAATCTAATAAGGTATTTATTAAACATAAAAGACAGGACATAAGATTCACAAAGCAAATTTCAGTTACTAGAATATCAAACCTCCCTTCTAAATTCCATGTTTTGCTTATATTTTAGAGAAAAGGGACTTTGACTGGGGGGGCCAAAATGTTTGAGTGGGGGGGCCACCATGGGGGCTGGGGGGGGCTTTGGCCCCCCCAGTTATATAGTTA